ACACCATGGCAGGTATAAGATATAAACTACTTCCTTGACTTCCTGCTCAAGCTCAAATATCCATGCTTAGCCTAACAGCAACAACTCCTCGACCGCCATTCATATAATACACCTGGAGCGCTTTCCATTGAAGTGCGATTGCAGTATCCTGAACTCTCTGCATCTGTCGTACAACGCTTCTTGACGTCGTTCCCGTTTCTCTTTTTTTGGCACCCGGTGGCCAACTATTCAGCTTTAAAGCTTAATATCAACGTGACACAGCTTGACAACCGATTCCGAGTCAGTTTCAACAAAACTGGCTTGTCTTAGTCCTCTTAAAGACATCACTTGCTTTAAGAATAAATTGGTCGAACGTCGGCCATAAAGACTGCACATTTCCAATCGTTGCCCAAAACGCAGATTGAGCACATTACCTTCTTGCCTTTCTTGAAAAAACCGAATCCTTCAGCCTCTACCTCTCTACGTTCAAAGATGTGCGCCGCCAGGGTTGCTCGACCAAAGCTTTCTCTCAACATCACTGCTGCGACATCAAAGCCCGTCTCATCGCTCGCCACACCTCTTGCAATGTCTCCGCGCTCTGTACCTCCTCTCTCAGCAGCTCCAGCTTCACCGATGCCACAAACTCCCACGACATACAATACCCGCATGAATTCTCGGGGGTACTCAATTGCCCGTCAGACTCCTGTGCTACAATACGAGAACTCAAGCAAAGTGAAAAGCATCCTAAAGAGGACGCCCAGCAACTCCTCCAATGATGAAATCGGCAAACGGTTACGTTTCTCCCGCGCAGATACGGTACATCTGGTCAGCCCGATAGAGAATAAAGAGGAATACTATGGCACATGGTCGAAATTGACACGGGACGAGAGGCGATGGATTAACAGACCATGAGGCGCCGGCACGAGCTTATCCGCTCACTTACGAAGATATGACCCAATGATATAATGAACAAAACGCGAAGGGCATGATGGCGATGTACAAACCGAGCATCAATTACGACGGCTCTTCTGAATAAATATAGCATAGTCTTTCATGAGAGATGACACTAGTTGTCCCTTCTACAGTACGACTTTGTTTCGGTAGCCGAGTTCAAAAATTAAAAGTAAAAATTGCTTTTCAATAATAGACCATTCTAAGCTAAGCTAAGAAAAGCTTAAACCCCTATGGCGTAATGGCTAACGCGTTTGACTTCTATATTATTTCAGCAGCTGAAATAATCAAAAGATTCTCGGTTCGAGTCCGGGTAGGGGTGTTTTCATTTTTATATAGATTTCCTACTTAATCAACCTTTCTCCTTTCCAAACCAAGCTCCACGTAACATTGCGTTCGGTATACTCTATCCAATACTTTTCTCAGAGACTGCCTCAATTTGTTACTCTTCGTACATTCAATGCTTTATAAAATCAGTGATACTGATACGT